GAGAGAGAGAGAGAGAAAGAGAGAGAGGAGAGCCCAATCTGGGATGGCTGGGGACTTGTATTCTCCGCACCTGGTGCACTTGGCAGTGGTGGATGAAAGCTGCTGCTAGGTACTGAGGGCAGGTCGGTGGAAATGCCTGATTGCTAAAAGGTGGTCTTTCTCCCATCTTTGAGGTTAGTGTATGGTGGCAGACATAAGCAAAATCAGTAAACATGAGAAAAAAGTTTCTTCTAGCCCAGAAGCGTGGCAAATGCCTGTAATTTCAGTGCTTGGGATCATCTGGAGCCAGCTGGGAGTCATAGTGAAACCCTGTAATGGGTCAGGCTAAAAAGCAGAGCATTATTACACCACAGGAGCGCTGTGTAAGCTCCCCACTCACAGCCCCTTTCTTCACCCCTAGAGACAACTGCTAAATTATGTTTTATGGCAATTACTAGCTAGACTTGATAGATTTTGCCATCCAAGAATTTATCTCTAAGTGATGTTTTTGTTTACAGTTACTTCATCAAAATAAAATTTTACTATATGACTGACATTTTCTTCATGTTTTAATTCATTCCTGAAAGTGAGTAAAACTATACATTAATATGCTAATTATCTAATTATCTAATTATCTAATTATCTAATTAGTCTGTTTGTAGCATTTGCATTATTCATACTTTTTATTTACTTTAATTTTATGTGTGTGGGTATTTTGCATACATGTATGTCTGTGTTCCATGTGTGTGCCTGGTGCCCAAGCATGGGAGAAGAGGTTATCAGATCCCCCGAAACTAGAATTACAGATGGTCACAAGCCACCATATGGGTGCTGGGAATTGAACCCAGATACTCTGCAAGAACAGATGGCTCTTAACAGCTGAGTCAACTCTCCAACCCCTGTTTCTTTCTTCTTATATTTAGGATGTGTTAGGACCCAGTCTGCTCCCAGCCCATTTCAGCCGCTCAGTGGCAGTGCCACGTCATCACCAGCCATGACGTGTGACATATATCCACTGTTGCCAGGAGTCACGTACCCTTTATCAAAGTGTGAAGTTTTTGTAAGCTCTAAGGATACGAAAGCTTAAGTTGTAAGGGTCTAAGAAAATGAATATGTACATGCAAGTTATAAAAATCTAAGAAAGTGTCTTAAGATGTGTAAATGCAATTTATAAAAATACAAGAAAGTGATTTAAGAGATTTACAAATGAAAAAATGTTTCATATTTCTTTCCCTCTCTATGCTATTGTTATATTAAGACTTCAAAAGTTAAAAATTTTAACATCAGTCAATGGAGTTTTGATAAGCTATTAATCTAGCTCTGGTAATCACTGACTACTATTATAGTTGTTAGGCTAGGTTGCTTAGCAACCTCTGACATCATCACCTGCCTATGACAGGTACAAGCCAGACACACTCCATATATTAAAGATCCACCACTCTTTCTCTCTCTCCCTGTCTCTCTCCCTCCCTGTGTCTCTTTCTGGAATGCCCCTCCCTTCTCTCTCTCCTACCATCTCTGTCTCCCACTATCTCTCTGTCCCTAACACCTCTTCCCTTCCCCTTCAAATAAACCTCTTTGTACCAGGCCTGTTTTGTGTCCTGCAATTCCATGATGTTATAACAATAATCACAAGCTCAAGATTTTAAATTTCCTTTGGTTGTCTTCTAAGAATAGACTTAAAAATGACTCTCATTGAGCTAAATGCATTTGTCTTATCTATATATACCCAGTCTTCTGGATAGAGGAAAGGGTGTTCAAGCTTTTAACTTAGTATCATTCTGTGTCCCTAAGCTCTTACTTTGGCTCAAAGGCTCAAGTCTACTGCCTTTTCTACAATGTGGATTTCAGTACAGATAACAAACAGTGTTAATGTTAACATATCTAAAACGTATTTCTTTTTGTAAACTTAAATAAATTGTTGTAAGCTTCAGGAAATCGACTTGAATCCAAGTCTCAGAGGTCAAATGGACCCCAGATAAGCACTGTCAGCTCAACATCCTTTTTCTCCTCCTGCCTAATTTTTGTTGTTGTTGTTAAGGATTTATTTATTATATACACAGTGTTCTGCCTCCATATAGACCTGCACACCAGAAGAGGGACCTGATGGCTGTGAGCCACCATGTGCTTGCTGGGAATTGAACTCAGGACCTCTAGATGCTCAAGAAGCCACAGCCAGTGCTCTTAACCTCTGAGCCATCTCTCCAACCTTCCTCCTGCCTATTCTGCTTTTTCCTTAGGGTGGGATCCCCCACTTTCCCTGGTCTTGGGACTCACCTCCTCCAACTACCAAGATTACAGACCTAAAAGTTTCAAGTGTACAACTGTGAAAAAAAATTCCCCTAAACTCCTTAACCTTATATTCTATCCCTTCTGTTACTGTTTCAGCAACACACCAGCTCCAGGTGTTTCTTCAAAATCTGTATCCAGATGGCTTCAAAGCACTAACCTCACATGGTCCAGCCTCACAGACCTGCTGGGCATGGTGGTGCAAGCCTTTAATCCTAGCACTCATGGAGGCAGACAGGCAGATTGCTGTGAGTTCAGGCCAGCATGGTCTATAAAAAGATTCTAGGACAGCCACAAATACACAGAGAAACCCTGTCTCAAAGAAACAAAACAAAAGAACCACAAACAAACAAATCAAAGAGAAGAATGAAGATAAAGAAGGAGGAGAAAGAAGAAGAGGAGGGAGGAAGAAGAGAAGAAGGAAAAAAAGAAGAGAAAATAGAAGACACAAGAAATAGAAAAGCCCCTTACGTTCATAAATAGGCAAAAATAACATTGCAAATATGGCTGTGGACCTGAAACCAAACTAGAAATTTGATGTAATTCCCAATGACATTCTTTAAAGAACAACAACAACAACAAAAAATATGAATCAATTTGGATGAAGAAAAAAAAAATCTAGTAGCCAAAGTAGTTCTTAGCAGGAAGAGTAATACTAGAAGTGTTAAAATTCTGATCTTAAATTTTATTACAGAGACGTTTTTAAAAAGAAGAAAAGAATAGGCATGGTACTGGCACAGATCAATGGAATAGAATAGAGGACTCAGATATAATCTATAGTTATATTGTTAGAACCACCCAAATACCAGAACCAGGTGCCTTTGGTGACTTGATGCCAGCATCCCCATCATCCCAATTCGGCACATTTTCACTGTCACCATGGTCATGTATGTGCATGCTCCATACCTCCTATAAAGTCTGAGCCATTTGAATGCTCTCTCCTTCAGTTTCCTCTCCACTTCTCTCTCCTTCACTCTTCCCTCCCCCTCTCTTCTCTTCTTTCTCCTCTCCCTCTCTTATCCCCATTCAGAGGCAACCTTTAGTGCACCCCCAATAAATCTCTTGTGTGAGGTCTGTTGCATGGTGTGATTTTTGTGAGATTCCTTGGCCCTCTAATTGCACAAAACAAAAACAAAAAACTTTACATACAGTTACCTTATTTTCAACCATATTGCATAACAAATACATCGGCGAATATGACAAACACAGTCAACAAATGGTGTGGGTAACTTGGTGTCCCCATGTAGAAGAACAAGACTATATCCTTATATTTCACTCTGTAGGGAAAACAAATTCAAAGACTTTGAATGTAACATGAAACTCTGAAATCTATGAGATAAACCTTTTTGGAATATGCATAAACCAAGACTTTTGGAAAATCTTTATCAGCTATACATCTGAAAGAGGATTAATGTCTACAATATATAAATAATTCAACAACAACAAAACCAAGAACCAGATTTTGTGGTACATACCTGGTGGCCTTGGAGACAAATAAAATCACCAAATGATTAATTGTAGACAAGAAGAACAGGGCTGAACTCTGGCCCCTCCAGTGCTCAGTAAACTCATTAGAGCACAGACCTGGAACAGATTGTGGATTTCTGAGAATGTGTCTAGAGTCCCCTGAGCTTCTCAGCAAGATTCAGAAAGAAGCCAAGCTTGATGACAAAACCAAAACTTCACAAACAAAAAGATTTTGGAGGTTGGGCAAAGAGCCAAGATTATCTGTATAACAAAGTGGGTGCAGAGGCCGATGGTATTCAGACAAAGACCCCCTAGGCTATGAATCAGCCTCACTCATGGCTTGTTACATAAGTAATTCCTGCTCCCAGGTATTGTTGGGAGTTGGTCTGGTACTCTGTGTATTCAAATGCTGAGTTCTGGGCCCCAAGATTTGGTTGCAGTCTGGAGGAGGGCAATGTCATGTACACTGATCAATGTTGTGTACAATTTGCTGCCCAATTATCTCTGATTGGTTAATAAAAAAGCTGAGACCCTGTAGCTGGGCAGAAAAGAGATAAGTGGAACTTCTATTCCCAGTCTTGGGGGTCTCATGTAGGGACCACAAGGAGAGGAGAGGAGAAGGAAAGAGGAAGAAGGACATGATGATTAAGAATTGACCTGATAGACCAGAAACAACCCAAGCAGAACCAACACATTTGGCAAGTAAATGTGGGCATATGGCTGGGAAATAGCAAGACCAGCGTAAATGATTATTATAAAGAGATATCTGCCCAGTTATGGTGCTTAAAGCTCATTAATAAATTTGGTAAGTCTCCATGTCATTTATTTTGGAGCTAGAGCAGGTGAGTAGACAAGACCTCCATACACCCCAAATTATCATATCAAGGTATGGGGTCTCATATATGTAATTCTAGCACTCCAGAATAGGGAAAGAAGGATTTCAGGGACTTCAAGGTCTATATGGATTTTTTGTTACTTTTTTCATTGTTTTGACAAAAAACCCAACAGAAGGAAACTAAAGGAAAAGGTTTATTCTGATTCATGATTTAAGAGATACAGTCCATTTCAGCATAAGGCATGGTAGAGCACATGGCAGCAGGAACATGTCCTCAAACTTCAGTAGATCAGGAAACAGAGAACAGGGATCCTCTTATCTGTCTTTCTTATGTTCTTTTGCCCTTGGGCACTCAGGGTGGGTCTTCCATCCTTAGTAATCTCTGGAAACACTCTTACAATTGTGATCAGAATTGTATCTCCTAAGAGACTCCAAATCTGGTCAAGTTGACAATGAAGGTTACAGCTACATATCGAGTTTCAAGCCACCCTGGGGTACAGTGTGAGATCCTATTAACAAACAAAGAGAAAAAGGAGGAGTGAATTCTGAGCCACATACTGAACAGTCTAAATGAAGGATCTGAAAAGAGTCTTCAATATTTTGGAACAAGATTTGTGGCCAGTGATGTTAGCGGTAAGAACATTATCCATGATGAAAAAGGGTTTTTGTAGTAGAAAAGGGTTACTATTAAGCCATATAAATATTATGGTGGTTAATTATTTAGCCCACTATTATATCAATAAAAGACACACACACACTTGTTAGATTTTAATATGCCTTAAACACTGGGGTTGGGCAGATATAAACTCCCCAAACTACTTTGTTACCTTCCAGCCTCACATTCCACACCATTTGCTTTAATTATTCCTATCTGGGCTACTCCCTATCCATTATTCCAATAAATACTTGCTCATGGTTTTCTTCTGGGCTGGTTTTCTCCATCATGCCAATCCTCAGAGCAAGTTCTTCCTGGCCAGTGTTGCTAGGTAAGAAATCCTCCTTCCTTCTTCCTCCTCTCCTGTACCTCTCTCTTTGTCTCCCATGGTTCTCTGCTCTCCCAAACCCTTGAACCTTATTTTTGCCTACTTGTCTTCCCTGTCCATGTATAGCGATTTATTGGCCAATCAGGTATAATTTGGAGGCAAAGTTACACAGCATCAATTTGTCTGTGTAAGGGTTTGCTCATAGAATAGTAAAGATCTCCAGTGGAGGAAGGGAGGGATATGTGTGAACAATTAACAATTAAATACAAAGCACCAGACCATGCTGCAACAGGTTTTATATAGGCATTACGTTTGGTGGGGTCTAAGAAAGAAAAGGGAGAACATATATTATTATAAGATGTCATCTTGACAGATATATATTGTTTTTTCTTCCATGAAGTATAGCCACAGAGAGAAATACAGGAAGCAATTACATAACAAGAGTCTCTGAGTGGCTACTATCTGAAAATTCCCTAGGCTGATTTTTTACTTTTAGGTACAAATAATGGAATCCAAATCCTCATCATTTAAACAATAAAAGATTTTAGTATATTATATTGAAGGTCTAGGACCCAATAATAAAAGAAAGAACAGGAAAAAGCCAGAACAAAACTGATAATCCCATCAACATCAGGTCTCACACAGAATTCATCAGGCACAGAAATTACTGATCACCTCACTGACACCCTAGCATTGGCCTCTATGGCTGGGACAGCTTCCATGAAAACTGTGTCCATGTCACTCTTGCCAAATTTATTCTCTGCACCTCCAGCTTTTTCCTGTCACCATGTGCTGAGTCAAGGTTCAGCATGTGATCATTCACCTGGTGGAGCTAAGGACTGCAGCTGTGGTGCTCAGCTGTGAGAATGTTTGGGAAAGTGACAAAGAAACTTACTTTTCAGTTCCTTTCTATAGTTGTACTAGGTATTTTTCTAATGTATAAAAAGGGTTCAGGAGCTGGGACAAGATGGCACAAAATAGAAATACAATGATGAAAACAGATCCCTGGAAAAGTTATCTGAGCAGCTACATCTGGAGAAAGAAAAAGACTGCTAGGCATTCAGGGTGATGATATCCTAGGGTATTCCCATCTCCCTGGGCTTTAAAAAGGTGCTAGTACAGTCAGGCATGGTGGCACACACCTTTAATCCTAGTACTCAGGAGGCAAATGCAGTTAGGTCTTAGAGTTTGAGACCAACCTGGTCTACACAGTCAGTTCCAGGACAGTCAGGGGGTATGTATTGGACCCTAATACACAGGGTCCAATCTTGGGTGAGCATTCTTGTATAGATGTGTCTTCTAGTAACACAATAGGCAAAGAGCACATTTACATCTATGGCTTTGACTCTATGGAGACAAAGCCCTCAGACACAATTTTTTCCATACCTGCATTTTTCTTCCTCATCATCACAATGGCAGCCACAGCTCCAGTGACCACAACTCCAAAGAAAACTACACCAACAGTTATTCCAACCATGGGCCGAGGAGTTGGTTCTAGAAAGAAAGGAAGGGAAGGAGAGGGCAGAATTGAAGGGCTCTAACCCCCACCTTAGCACTGATCCTATTCAGGGGTCTCCAGGAGGTTGCCTTTTTACCTTGACAGCCTCTGTGATCAAATCCTTCCTTACCCCATCTCAGGATGAGGGGCTCGGGCAGCCCCTCATGGTACACATGGCATGTGTATCTCTGCTCTTCTCCGGGAGGCACCACCACAGCTGCCCACTTCTGGAAGGTTCCATCCCCTGAGGGTCTGGTGTCCACAAGCTCCATGTCCTGAGTCAGGTCCTCCCCCTCCAACTGCCAGGTCAGGCTGATGTCAGCAGGGTAGAAGCCCAGGGCCCAGCACCTCAGGGTGATGTCACCTTGAGGTCTGGGGTGATGGGTCACGTGTGCCTTTGGGGGATCTGAGGGAAAAAATTGGAAAATTCAAACATTTTGCATTCTTTCCACGGACTTAAGCAGTATTCGTGTCCCTATCCTGACAACGGACAGGGGAATCAAGGTGAGTAGGGATGCAAAACCCAAACAAGTAATCTATACTCAGGCATCAGTATACTTTATTTCTTAGAAAATTCTACAATTATGGTAAGGCAGTCCAAAGCCGAAAACTCCCAAGTTTTCCCATGAAAAGAGGGTTTCTAAGTGGAGGGCTTAGAAACTCTGCATCACATGAGTCAAACATCCAAAGATGTCGCGTGTGAGCCCAGAAGATAGCTTCCGGGAGTCCATAGTTCATGACAGGCTGCAGACTGAAGGGGACAGCTATTAAATCTTCTTTCCTACCATCCTGGGTCAAACTCTGAACTGTCCTGACAGAAGGGTGAGCCATAGGACAGTAACTATGTGGTGTTGGGTCAGGAAAACCAGGAGCACCCTTCCTCCTCCGGAAGCAAAAGATAGCGGCAGTATTGCAGCTGATATCATTTTCCTTCCTCCTTTGAGGCATATACTGAGTGTAGAGAGAGGATTTACTTTTTTTCAAGCCCTGGTACCTGAGCGCTGTAGAGTCTTCTTCCCTATCTCTAGGTGCCTGAGTAGCCATTCAACGCATGAGAACTTCAAGAAGGGGCTGAAGCTCTCTGCTATACGATCTGCCTCCCACCGTCGCTGAGTGATCTGAGCCGTCATGTCAGCCACAGTCCATGTTCTCAGGTCTGCGTTCAGGCTGATGTAATCGTTGCCATCAAATGCATGTCTATAGTGTCCACGTTGGAGGCGTCGATCTGGCCCCACGTCGCAACCAATGAAACACTGAAAGGTATGAGAGACTGCCAAGGCCCCTAAAGTCAGCCCCTCCCACAGGGCCCCGCCCACCTAAACTGAATAGGAAACCGGCCCTGGGTCCACTAATCCCTTGGGTCCAGAGTCTCTGCGGATCCCTTAGATCCTGGCCAAACCTAGGATCTGGGACCCTGGGCGACTCGGGTCCGTCGGTAGAAAAGTGAAGGGGTCACTCACCGTTGTCGCTCTGATTATAGACCTGGATTGCGAATCGCAGGTTTTCTATGGCCCTGTTTGAATAGCTCATGGCATTCCTTTTCTCCATTTCCAAATATTCGGACCCCATCTGCTTCACCCAAGGACCGCGCGCCTGGATCCTGTGAGTATCTCCATCTCTGTCGAAGCGCATGAACTGCATGTGGTCCACATAGCCAACGACGGAGATATGGGAATCTTGGAGACCCGGTCGAGACGCGGTCGTGGTTACCAAATACCGCAAGGAGTGTGAGCCTGTGAGTAGCGCAGTGATACCTTGACTCTCCTCCCGGGGCCTTCGGCGGGTGCGGGGCGGGGGGTGGGGGGCGAGACGGGAACAGAGTCAAGGAATGCAGGATGGAGATGGGAGCGGGAGGATCTTTCTGGGTGGTGAGAAGAAGCGACTTCCTGGGTACTGCCAGGAGCTACTCTCACCCAACGCCCTAGCTCCTTCAGGCAGAAGCTGTTTCCCTCCAGACTCACCAGTAAGGTTCTGGGCCTTGTTCTGGGTCAGAGCCAGGAGTACTGAGAGCACCAAGAAGATGGGACGATGCGTTGTGGCCCCCATCCTCAGTGTCTGAAGGACCCGGAGGGTTTGAGACCTTGTTCCTTTCTGTGAATTTTATAGTGTCGAGGTTTGTGGAGAGAAACCACAGCGACTTGGATGGCTTTCTCGAGAATTCAATGAGAACATGTGTCCATATGGAAGGACTGGGCAGCTAACACAGGTTACCGGTTGTAGAAAGAATGAGGGAATTCCCAACCTTTTGCTTCCTCAGACACCTTGGAGATAAACCTCATGCAGTGGGAGTGATAATCATGTGTGCAGAGGTTTTAAGCTGTAGACAGGATGAGGGGATTTCCATGCAATTGTTTTGTTTCCTCAGACACCTTGAAGTCAAAACCTCAGACCAGAGGCTTATGGAGGGCCCTTCTTCCCCTTGCACCCGGTGTATCTTACCCCATCCACTTTCTGAGTCCTGTTCAGGAGTTCTGTTGTACAAGATTCTGGATGTTTTAAGATCTCTTGTCTGTACTTACACATTACTAAAGGCCTCAAAGAGTTTTCATGTAGGTCACATGTAATGACATTTACCGTGTTAAAAACTGACACTTAAGCAGTTTATGGTGGCCTACAGCTGTAATCCCAGCATTTAGGAGGAAGTGCAGGACGTTTGACATGAGTTTGAGGACAGCTTACACTAGATACTGACATTTTTTGAAGGATTTAATTTTATTCCTGGTATGTATGTGTAAATGTATGCCACGAATGTGAGAATGTCCACTGAGGCCGGAAGAATGAGTCAGGTCCCTTGGTACTGGAATTACAGGGGGTTGTGAGCTGGGTGCTAGGCACCAAACTGAGATTATCTACAAGAGCAGTAAGCACTGTTAGCCACTAAACCATCTATCAGGCCCATTGAGACTCTGATTGGAAAAAGAAAAAAAAAAAAAAAGACTTTTTAAAAGTAAGATGATCCTTAAATTCTGCAAGTAAGTGGTGGTAAAGAAAGTAATAACTTTCAAGGTGTCAACAGAGTAACAGCAAATATGGCAAGTAAACTCTTAAAACATACGAGTGTGCTTTACATCATTCATTTTAGGAAAGGGGCTTCTTGAGCTCCATCCAGCTACAAACACTATTATTTTTTGTTGTTCTTGGAGACACATGGTGTATTTCCACCATTCAAGAACCTTAAACAGGAGGAATTTGAGGAATGGCCTGACTATATCATTTTTCTGTGTGGGAGGAAACGAATGCAGAATTTTGGGGAATAGTAAATTATTTTTAGAGGGGGCCAATGAATTTGGAGAACATGCAATTGCCTCTTGAGTCCAGAGAACAGATGAGTGTATTTTCTTTGCAGCATTGGCTGGGAACATTTGCTGCTAACGTCCTTCAAAGTAACCCACATAAGGCTGCAGCAGCTCTCTGTTGGGCTGCACATGGCAGGCTGCCCTGGATGTGTGGGGCACATCTGCTGACAATGCCATATAGTGGTGAGAATTAAGAAGAGGAGAATGTGGCAAGGGATAGACCCAGGAAAAAGGAAGAAATTGAGCAGCCCCTGCAGAATGGGCAGGAAGACTGTTCTTTGGCAGGGCACCATTTGTTATGAGCCTTGTGTTATTTTCATGGGTCAGATGGGTCTTGTGTTAACCACTTCTAATTGGAGATTGCCTTCCCCCTCAGTGTAAGTTTCTGTCAAGAGAGCGGTTTTGCCCATTTACATGGGAAAATAATATAATGTAAATAAAGCAATTGAAAAGCAAAATTAACAAACAAATGACAACAAAACAAAAAACAAAAACAGTATAAGCTAAGCATGGTAGTGCATTCCTTTGATCCCAGTACTTTGAAGGCAGAATCAGGCAAATCACTATGAGTTTGAGTACATAGTAATCTCCAGGATAGCCAAAACTACAGAAAGAGACCCTTTCTCAAAAAAAAACCAAAATAAAGCAAAAGAGTCCCTGGACTCTTTCACTTCCTCTATCTGAAATTTCCCTAGAAGTTTCACATAGGAATTGTTAAGTGAGGAAAAGAAAATCAGACCAATAATCAAAAGGCAATATGTCTTCAAGCAGAAAAGGGAACATAAATTAGAATAAGACTAAATAATAAAAAAGAACAAATCTAAGCCCATTTCCTCAAAACCCATTCAACCAACCTAAAATAATTTAGTCACAAATTATTTAGCCTCATTTGTCTAATGAATATCTTGTGTTTTAAGAAATTCAGATCTAGCAGAGCATGATGACAGATGCCTTTAATCCCAGCACTTAGGAGGCAGAGGCAGAAGATCTCTGAGTTCAAGGGTGGCGTGGTCTACAAAGCAAATTCCAGGATACCTAGGGCTACACAGACAAACCCTGTCTCAAAAAACCAAAAAAAAAAAAGAAAGAAAGAAAGAAAGAAAGGAAATTCAGACTAAATCTTAGTCTAGTAGCACAGACCCTCTTGGAAGGCGAAAACAGCCTGGCTGGGGTGTGTGTGTGTTAGAAATTGCAAGGAGGAAAATCAATGAATGAATGACCCACAAAGAGAACAGTGATTAAAGATTTTTGTTTTGTTTTGTTTTTAAGGAGGATTTAAAAAAGAACACTTTGAGAGGTTGGTAGGTAAATGGATCCTGAACCTTGGGAAATGGCTGTCTACTTCATGGTGCTGTCTGTCTCTGGGACTTGGGAACTGGACCTGGAAATCTAAGATAACCTGTAGAACTAGCCTTCCAATTGTCCTGATCTCATTTGCTTTGATTCACATGAATCTATGAGATTATTTTTCTTTCATTTTTATGTCAGTTGAGTAATATTACATAAAGTTCTTTCTGATATAAGCCTAATCTTGTCGATAAAGAAAGAAGGAAATTGGATTCAGAAATAAAATTGGACTTACATAAAATGTAAGTGCCATCATTCTTTGTATTCCCTGAGGTATGTCAATCTAGATTTTTCTCTCTCTAAACATAAATCAGAGTAGCTGGGTGTGGTGGCACACACCTTTGATCCCAGGCAGAGTCAAGCAGATTTCTGTGAGTTCGAGGCTAGCCTTGGCTACAAAGAGAATTCCAGGGCAGCTGTGTCTGCTACACAGAGAAATCCTATCTCAAAAAAACAAAACAAAACAAAACCAAAACATAAATCAGAGAGAAACATCAAGTTCAGGTATAAGGAAGATGTAAAGAGGCTGCTTACTACAGACCAGGGTGCATTTTTCTCAGGGAATACAAAGAATGATGGCACTTACATTTTATGTAAGTCCAATTTTATTTCTGAATCCAATTTCCTTCTTTCTTTATCGACAAGATTAGGCTTATAGGAAAAGAAGTGAAAACAGAAATTCTGTTGAAAAGGGGAATTGATTACCTGTCCCTTCTGCATCTTTCCTCTAGAGTCTGGTCTTTTCCTGGGCCACATCCGTGGGTTCTGTGGTCAGTGGCAGTTCGGCCTCATGTGTGTGTGAAGCCCACAGTGGAAGAGACTTCCTGTAAGTCATCATTCTCTTCAGAGAGTTTCAAGTCCAGACAGACTCTCCCGAATGAAGGACTGGAGAGGTGGCTCAGTGGATATGGTGAGTACTACACAATTATGAGGACCTGAGTTTGGATCCGCAGCATCTACACAAAAGTCAGGCATGACAGCATGTGTATTTTAAAATTCCAGCACAGCTGAGCTAAACAAAACATTGGAAATTTAGAACTGAACAATAGAAGAACAGATTTGCTGTATAAGGACAGGAAGAAAATCAGTCATGTTGGTAGTTGGGAGAGTTGTCTGGAGAAATAGGTTAAATATTTGAGACCGTGGAGTGAGTGAAATTACAAGCTAAGTGATTAGCTGTTGAAAAGGAAGAGCAAGGACATAACCCTGGCTCAGTGCTCAGTCATCTCATCAGAACCTGAAATGGAATGCACAGCTCTGGGGCTGTGTCTAGAAGGCCCATAGACCGGAGACTTAGTATGCACAGGAGTCTCCTGAACATCTCAGCAAAATTCAGGAACTATGGTGCAGAGCTGAAACTCTCTGAATTTGTAACAAAGTTGGCACAGAGGCTCCTGGCATGACACTAAGAGCCCCAAGGCAATGCATAACCCTCACTATGGTCCACTCCTGAGGCCAGGGACGATAGCTCATGCCTCTACACCCCACACTCTGGAACGGGGACAAAGGACTGCTGGGACTCCAATGTTCACCTGGTTTTCTGTGATACTTTCTTTCTCATTATTGTACCCAAAATACCTGACAGACGCAGCTGAAAGAAGAAAGATTTACTTTGTTTCATGATATAAGAGGGTGCCATCCATCATGATAGAGACAGTATGGGTGAGCGCATAACAGCTAGAGCGTGTGGCCGGGATGCCTAAAATCAGTGGATGATGAAGCCAAAAGGATGCTGCTGCTCATCTGGCTTTCTCCTCTGCCCCAGCTCAAGGGATTGCTGGGCTTGGGGTGGAGGCTGAGAAATCTCAACTTCAGATACAGAAGCTTAAAATAAAAAGTTTATTTCCTGAGCTCAGGGAGGCAGTCAGTTTGGGATCTGAACCATCTCACCTAGGTGAAGCTATATTACATACTTAAAGGTGAAAACCACAATTAGCTCCCATAGGGGCAGGTAGGATGGGGGTACATGGAACAGGGTAGTCATCTCTGACTCAAGTGGTTGGTGGGTTGGTTGGTTGGTTGGTGGGTTGGTGGGTCGGTGGGTTGGTTGTTTTTTTTTTTTTTTTTTTATCTAGACAGCTCTTCTAGCTGACATTTAGTTTGATTGGTCCCAAGTAAAGTTTGTGGTTAGGCCAGCTGTGCTTATGGTTAGGGAATTTCTGAGAACAACAAAGACCATAGAGTATGCTGAACATAAAAATAGGTTTTGGTCAACCTCACCTTGGCAGAGATTTTTTTTTTTTCTGAATCAGAAACAAGCTGACATGTTGTGGCTTTTAGGCTTGAACAGCTGCTTAAGATATAGTTAACTATAGCTGTTAACTATAATTAACTATAGCTGTGAGCTATAGTTATGCTACCCCAAAAGAGCAGGCCTCATCAGGATGATGTCATCTACATTTA